GTTACATGAATGTGGGGTGCTTGAGCATTGGGCATAGATGCTGCCATATGTTTTTCTGTCCACTGATCCTCCCCATGAATTCATATGGGCCAAATCTCTGAATCAATCATCAGCAGACCTACAGCATTGTGGGTTCCTATGCTGCACTTGACATCAACTTCTGTTTGTGTTCCTTTAATCCCACCTCCCTGACTATTAGCATAAAGATTAATTGTGATGATTGGTAACTCTAGGGTCAAAGGCATTTACTTAGAACTAAGCCTGCTTTGGCATTTACTACAGATTTCTAACCTCAACTCTAAGCCAGGTTTTTGGCTCACATTTTTCTCCACTTAGTTCTTTCTTTGATGTTGAATTTTAACTTTTATCTGAAGGGAAATGATTTAAAAAGAAAGAAAGAGATAAAAGGAGTGGGCAAATCATCACAATTATGTGGTCCATGGAGTCCTAACAGAGACTAGCCTTATAGCTCGGACAAAGGAATACTGAGGGAAACAGCATGTAGGAAAAGGATACAAAGTCAAGGTCAACAGGAAGACTTTGGTGTCTGTGAGACACTTTATTATTTTTGTTGAAATAACTACTAGTGGCAAGACATACCTTAAGTCAATCAGTAATATTTATTGGACACTTGTTAGGTCTTAGGAACACTGTTAAGCATTTTACAAACTTTGTTTCATTTAATAGAATAACTCTGTTAGATAGGTATTATTACTAGTTCCTTTCTACAGATTAACAAATTGAAATTTGGGAAGATTAGTTACTTCCTCCCAAATTTCAAGGTCAACGAGAACATGGATTTGATACCAGATTTCTGGGCTCCTGAGAAACTTGTAATTATGTGACACATTATATTTCTTCCCAGATAGCAATAGCCACGATTATCTGCTGAGCCATTATTTCATAGGGCTATATGAGAAAGATTTAATAATTGACCTGTGACCATACTGATAGTTCATGGTGGAATAAGAATTTAGCCTTTATTTGACTTGAAATGCAAGTTTTTTCTAGGATGATCGTACTTTGAAAGGTAAGTCATTTAAAATGTTTCTATGTGGCTGATTTATAAGTAATTGATATGAAGATTCCTCTCCAAATATATCAAAATGTAGGTAAACAGTTATTAAGGGAAAATATTCAAATAAGAAGGATAAGAAATGAAATGACAGAGGGAAATATTGTAATTATGCACTCAAAGAGCAAACACTAATATCCTCAAGGGAATATATAACTTTTTCTCACAAAACCCAAGCGAGAAGGCCCATTTTTGCAACCTACAGAGTCTACTTTGGGTTATCATAGATGATGATAATTAATAGTCATATATTGAAATAAAGTATTTATTCTTTACAACCATTAACCCCTTTTTGGCTGGTTCTTATTAACTCAGTAACACTCTGAGTTTGGTATGTCCCTAGGTTTTCCTTCTAAGCCAAGACAGTACTAACCAGGTTGACCGAATATTAGGTATGCATACAAGTTATATCCCCATTATTAAGGAATAGTAGACCAAAGGAAACCCTGGTAACTAAATATCATATATGATCCTTGATTAGTTTGGGATTATAAGAGAAACTGTCATTAAAGGACATTGGTGGGACAGTTAGAACAAATTATATATAGATCATGTATGGACACTAATACTTTACCAATATTAAATTTCCTGAGTTCTGTGGCTTTGTGAAAGAAATGACCTTATTCCTAGAAAGCCATATTGAAGTATTTTGGGGTAAAATGACATTATGTCCTAAAATTATTTTCAAGTTCTGCCTTTAAGAAAGTATCTATTTATAGAATGGGAGTGATAAAGTTAATAAAGGAAAATATTTGAAAAATAGCTAACCAAGGATATGTGGCAGTTCTTTACACTGATTAGCTGCTCTTCTAAAAGTATGAAATTATTTTAATATGTAAAATTTTAATTTTAATAAAATTAAATTTTCCTTATTTTAATAAGGAAAATCAGTTGCCAGACTAAATAAGTTTTGTGTTTTCATATTTAGTATTTTTTCTAGGCCTGATGAATCTTTAAGTGAATAACTTGACAAAAATCAACCAAACATTGTAGCACTCTGGTGAAATCACTTCAAGGCAACAAGATGACAACCTAAGCACATTTTTATAAAACTCAGGTTGTTCTTTTTAAAAAACCTAAATTCTTGTGAAATAAGTCAGAACATGGCATTAAAGCAAATGTTCAAAAAGCATTGTTATGCCTTTGGCATAGATATTTCATGGGGTGATAAAGCTGACCTTCTAGGGAATTGGGAGCCATCCTACATATTTATGGATGTGACTATTTTTCTCTGGGATCAACCCACCACCCAGAATCAAAGGCCAGTTTAAAGACATGATCTACATTTGTCCTAAGTTCCTACAGGGAATTCTGTGGTCTAGCCTCTGAGAGATGCCATTTCTCCTCTTCTGCAAGATGTCAGAGTGATAACTGAGCTATTCTCCCTCATTTGTGCTTTGACTCAGGATATTACTCCCCAGGATGCCACCATCCTCCTCTGCTGTAATAGGAAGGTTCACACCCCCCTGGCAGTCACTGAATATTGGTATCCAGAAAATTTACCTATCATGTCTAATTATTTTTCCTATATATCCTTTTACCATCAGAATAGGAAGACTCAAACACGTCTCCAGGGAACACACACACAAAAAATACCAGGGTAAGTCAGCAAATGAAACTATAATGGGAACTGGTGTTTTATGTGCAAATGTAACCTGGTTATTTAGCATACTCTAAGAGAGCCACTCAAACATAAGTGTTTAGTTGATGAGGCACATGTACAGTCGCACTTCTCAGGTCCAAGTGAAATTATATATTCAAAAAATTATGGGTAATCACTAAGGGAAAATGTCTTTCAAGTCCATCACTCCCTCCCAAATTATGTGAAGAAATGGCTAAAATTCTTCACCTTGAGTTGGCTCCGTTTTGAGTTGTTTACAAGAATTTAAGAAAAACACTCTTCTCTCCTACCATTCCCTCTGGCTGCTTCAAAAGAAAACCAGAAGTATGTATCCTAATAATGGAACTAAAAAAGAAAACAACAACAAAAAAAAAAAAGGAGAAAAAGGAACAATAGGAGAAAAACCCTAGTAGATGTTTAGAAAATGCATATCTAAAAATGTGACATTATCTGTGCTTAAACAGTGAATTTCAACTTCTGTCATGTAGTTTGATTTTCTTGTTGCTAAAATACTTCTGTGGACATGGGGACAGTAAGATATTTATAACTGCAAAATTGAATTCTTCATGATAAAACTCTTGACCTGCATTTCCTGCAGCACATGAGCTAAATAATAAGATATCCTTTAACTTTTCAAGGTTTTAAGAATACTTTCCAGCATGGCCTCAATACAAAGAATGGAATACAAATAATATCTTCTAGAGGCTCAGGATGAGCCAATATAAAACAGATAATTTTTGTTTAATCCTGTAATGTCTTATTTATACAATGAAGATTTAATTTTCAAATATTTAAACTTGCTTCTGGCCTTTGTCTTGTTTGCGTTCAGCCCTCATTGCTATACATTTATAAAACATTCTTGTGCGATACTGTTATAATATTCACTTGTCTACCTACTACTTTATTTACACGTGGTTTTAAGCACATCTTTGAAAATGTAGACGCCGTCCTTAGGAAAACACAACTCTGCTCTGTATTTGGATATGTTCCCATTTCAATGTCTCAAAGCTTTCCCCCTAGATTTCGGTTCCCCCAGTTTTCAAATGGTAATTATGCCCCAAATTGTATAAGGGAGCTCAAATCGAAAATTTTATGTTTCCATGCAGATTAGAGAAATTTTTGAAATTTGAGTTGAAATTATGATAAATCTAAGAATTTAATGAATTCCACTTATTCTTATACTGTTAAACTTGATCATAGCAGCTAGTAGCATGTCCAAACAAGTGTCACTGAGGTATCTGTAAATGTGAAATGCTAAACAAATATTTAGATGAAATCTGAACCTGCAAAAAAATTCTTTTCCTATGTTGATGAGCTAAGAACAATTTAGACTATGTACAGTCATATGCAAATATTCTCTTGATTTTACTTGGGCCTAGGGCAGTTACCCATGGGAGCACAGCAGAAGAAAGAACACAGCCACTCTGTTCTAAGAGCAGCAGTGAGTAAGCGTTGTGTGGTCAGTTTTGCACAGAGGCATTTTGCTAGCAGCTCTTTTGATCTCAGGTCTCTTCTTAGAAGACTAAATGCTCCCTCATTGCACAGGATGGCTTCTCCCAACATGGATCACTTAATGCTAATCTATATTAAATGACGATAGGGGGTAGGCAAAATCTCTGCTAAAAGATATTCAGGAAAAAAATGTATTAAAAATACATGGGTTGCAGGACTTCTCAGAACCTAGAATATGTAATATGTAGGCAATGTGTAATTTAAAACTTCACGAGAGAAGAACATATTCTATAGAATTTCTTCAACTTGCTTTTCAATGGAACATGCCCTGAGATGATGTAGACTTGCTTTCCCTTTTATTCACTGCAGATCTGCTCATCATTGTGGTTCACATCCAAATACTCCTCCTGTGGCCAACCCTACTTCTCAGACTTCATCCTGCCCTACTTGGCACATTACTGCGCTTTCATCATGGTTTTGAGAATCCTCCCTTGTTTGGGGCATTCTTCTTTATTCCAGAGTAGAGATTACCTTTGTCTCCATTAAATTACAGCATCATGGGATGAGGGACCATTCATGATGAGCCCGATGCACAATACCTAACCGAGTGCCCAGCCCAGAACTTTGAAGGGACTCAGTAAATGATTCCGGAAGGACTAATGCCATCTATCTCAAATCTGTGCCCGTGATTTCAAGAATTCCTCTGAAAAGTAAAATGTTTCATTACCCATTGGACAATGAGTAGATGAGACTTTTATTTTTAAATATATCTTTGTGCTCAATTTAATACCTATTTTGAGTGGCAAGGAGAAGAAATCATCATAACCAAAATTTGTACTAAGATACTTCAAATATGACAAGCAGCATACATGGTTGTTTTTATTAAGCTTCATATTCAGCTTATAGCTAAGTATTTCAGGCATTACTTCATGTGACAAGCAGACAGGGTATTCTAGGAAACATTTCACGACACTGCAGGGACTTCCTAACTACTGGGAACAGAGCAGCTTATTCTGCAGTTAACATGTATATGAAGGACTTCAAGTAGTCATTAAGGGAAAGAAGCTAAATGATAACTGGTCACTTCTGTGAAGTGGTTAACCTGGATAAATAGCTACAAAGAAAAGCGCATGACTGTTGCACAGCTTGAGATCTTGTATCTCAATTTCTCTTTTTTATTTAGGATAGAACTTGGGTGGGGTTCATATCAGAAAGCAAAAGATTCAGAATAAGCTTCATGTCATGTTCTCTGTGGATAGGATTAACACTAATATGATTAGCTTGCTTTTAAAGAAATTAAGAAAAGAATACTTGTATTGAATTGAGGGACTATAAGAGATACTTTTGAAGAATTTCTCTCTAGTCTTGTAGCTTCCTTATGAGTTCTTCTGAGAGATTTTCATTGTAACTGTCTTGACCTCTGTATATTCATAGAGACCATATTCTCCCCTGGAGAAAGAGAAAAAAAAATACCCACAAACATCATTTAGCCCAGTAGTACAAATGTTCTGAAGTGCATGATGGATACACATTTGTTCTTGCTTATCTGGCTAGCAAAATGGAAAGTATTTTTCTGTGTACAGACTATTTTGTGTAGTAGCTAGCCAACCACAAACTATCAGATTTTACATAAATCTCTTGTGGAAAAAAACATTTTATAAATTTCTTTAATTTTAAATAATTATGTATTCTCATTGATTTTCACAGAAATTGTCCATTTTTTCGTTAGCCCACAGGATTTTAAAAGCTCTAACTACTCAAAAGGTAATTCAACCCAAAAATAATTTTGGCATTTCTAGTTGAGATTCACAGAATACAGTAAGACAGGACAGGTAGTAATGTACAACCACTGAGAAGCAACACAATAAAACTATCAACTAGAGCAGAGCTGCCTTGATCAACTGCACAAAACTGGCACAAAAGTGATGAGGGGCTGAGATTTTCATTTTAAGGAGTCCTAATATGGCTTGAAACAAAACATCTTATAGCTGTAGTTTTATCAATGTCTTCTGATTCTTGGCAAAACAAAAACTTGATCTATATTGTTGAAGTTTTCTTTTTTTCTTTTTTATTTTTTTCTTTTTAGGAGGAGCAAAAGGACAGATTTGGGGTTTTCACAGTTGTTGGTTTTCTCCCTTTATATAACCTACTCGATCCCATACCCTTTGCTTATATAACTCTTAAGTCGAACCCAAGTGATCAGGAATTAACTCAAGTCTACTATCTTGTTATCAAGTTTACAGGGACCTCCTAAAAACTGACTGGAGTCCCCTTTGTTGAAGGGATAACTAAAAAGATTGGGCTTAATTATAGTCTATGTTGTTTGGAAAAGAGGACCATATTACATGTAGAAAAGAATATTCTCAAAATCTCAACACTCATGCATATGTAGGCTTACAAAGAATAAAATTTGATCATTTTCTATCCTTTTTTTCTTATAATATAAATGGGTATTCAGAAGACATCATTTTCTCCTAGGTAACCTAATAATCTCACACTGATTATCTTCTTGGGCAGTTAAGCTTCTGAAAATGCCTTTTAAAAGCTTCAGTGAGCATGTTCTTCAAAGTAATTAAAGGGTTTAGCCTCAGTTATCTGAAACCCATTATAAGACAGTGTTTTAATAAGTTTTTATCTCCCAGAGTTAGATAAATCAACCTGTGATTTTAACCCATAGGATTTCCATTGTATTTTTGGTCATGGCACTTGAAACTCTTAAGAGAGTAATAACTGTGATTATTGTCCTACTCTGGCTGAACAGATCCTGCCCTTTAGGACTCTTACATGTCTACTGTATCTGTGATATAACATAGAAAGATTTGTTCACATTTCTTTTTGTCATAATAGTTTTGTAAGCTACTAGTTCTGGGTTTCTAAAATCTTCACTGTACAAATCACCTGGGACCTTATCATAGTCTGATTCTGATTCAGTAGATTTGGGGTAAGGCCTGACACTACCTTTCTAGTAAATTTCCAGTGATAACCATGCTTTTCATCCAGGGTCTACTCTGTAAGAAAAAGGTCCCGTTAAGAAGTTATGTCTGTTTTTTCCTCTGTACCAGGACTGAGACTGGCACTAATTAAGCAGGTGCAGAGGAAATATTTGCTGAACTGACTTGGCTAATAGTATCAAGCAAAAAACAAACAAACAAACAAAAAACCACATTCATTTGAGTTCCTGCTGTAAGCCCAGTAGTTTGCAACACTTCCTTGTTCGTTTTCTATGGGATAGGAAGAAAGAAATATCTTGTGAGGTGCTGAGAGCCAGTTAAGTTTAAACAGGCATGCCAGCAATGTCTCCAGGGACCTATGTTAACCTAAATGAAAATAAATTCAATCACACAAATGGGTAATTTCTGCCATTTAACTCATTCCAGTGCCAACCCATGATCAGAGATGCAAAATCAAGGTGTGCACACTCTGTATCACCATCCAATACGTAGGGGTCTGCAGACTACCAATTTTGGGTTTTTGAGGACTCTATTCCCCTCTGATCAATTCTTTCTACCTTGGAGCACAAATTGTAATTTAACTCTTGCTGATCACTTGAGTAATTCTCTTAAAACATCTTGCATTGAACGACCCATTTACTAAGTTCATTAAATTTTGACTTAAATAGTAGCACCCTCAGCTAGAATTTTTGAAGTAAAAAAATACAGCATTAACTTTTCCCCCTATATGTTATATACCTATATCAGGTTTTAAAGTTATTGATGATTGATTCCCATTTTCAGTCCTTCTCTTACTTGATGTCCTAATGTCTCGCCCTTAAAGTCTGTATTTGACAAAACTGATGCTTGGTCCCTTTTGATCATTTTATCATTTGATCATCCCTTTTGATTATTTTATCTTCATGATTCCCAGGAAAATGGGTTACATAGCTAGGCTAGCAATGAACTAACCCACTTTCAGAGTAATCTAACGTTTGTTCCAGTTTTTGGTACAAAGTAATTAGTTCTGCCAAGGGATTCTCCAGTAACAGATATTGAGAAGAAACTAGGGAAGGAAGAAACCACTTATTGAGTTTCCACTTTGTGACAGTTATAAGGCTGGGGATTGGACATTCGTTATGTCATAACCATATTAAGAGGAAAGTTGACATCTCTGTTTGAAATATGAGGAACAGAGGCTCAGCAGATGGGCAACTTGAAGCAGGCAAGATGGCTAGTGAGTGGGGAGTCAGGACGTAAGTGCAGGCTGGTCAGACTCTAATGATGTCTTCTCAGATAAGACTTGCACTTTCTATGGGTTGGTTTTTTGTCATTTTCAAAACATAGGATTTTAGACATATCCACGGCCCTTCACTATTCTACAAGTAAGATCTAAGCCAATTTTCTTGACTTTAGGACTTCTTAGTCTGTATCATACTTAACTCTGAAATCACACTTCTCACCCTATGATTCCACAGCAACCAATCCAATTCACTAGCCCTTCACAATGCCACATGCAATGTTCTATTCAAAAATGCCCTCCCCCTACCTGAGCTGAAATTCCATCTCTTCTGTGAGGTCTTTTCTTACTTTCTTAACTGCCATTAAATTTTATCCACTGAATTTCCACTGAAGTTATAACCATAGACTCTTAAGCATGGAAAGGAACTTAAAAGACCTTCTACTTCCTCTACCCACTCCTGTCTTCACCCACTATTCTTGATCTTGTGTGATACATGAAAATAGTGACAGTTCGAGAGATGCTGTCCTAAATGCTACGTTCTCATCATTTCCAGATGTTCTGTCCTTCAATACTTTTCTCTGTACTTTAAATGCTGTATTGCTTCCGTGAGGTCTGAGTCTCCATCTAGTGTGTATGGGCTGTCTTGCACATCATTTCACATATTCTTCTTGCCACCACAGTTATATAGGGTATGGAACACAGTGTCACGTGCTAGGACCTTATACATAGAAAGTATATCTGCTAACGAATGCATGTGGAAAAAGCTGATGGGTCATTCTATCACTCCTCCATTTTTATGGCTTCCCAGAAATGTTTCCTTGTAATTCAGCTCATTCATTAAGAGATAAATGACCTGCTATTTCATGCCTTTGAGACCCTTAGAAACTGAGAAAAACTTATTTTTACTTGCTGTTTACAAAATGGACAGCAATACTATGTTTGATTTCATAGATTTGTATATGATTTACCTTTTTTCTTTTGTATTTTTAAATTTATTGGTAAACGTAAAACATTTAAAAAAAATAAAATAGGTAAAATTGCTTGAATGAACTCAACCAAAAATCTTGCCAGCACTTTGTGTTTATATGTGTATGTGAATATTTTTATAAAATGTATATATATCCTAGTTTTAAAAGCAACTGAACACTCTTAAGTCCATTTATCCATAAATTTTCTCAATCTATTCACTACTATAAAACATGTTTTCTTTGGTCAAATTCCCTTTAGATTTATATTTCACTTCCCAAAACAACTTATTCAGGTAATTAAAAATTTTGGAGTTTATATCAATAATATTTCAACAAATGAGAATCATTCCTCTTATACTGATGGTTTCTGAGATAAGGCACCTACTGTATTTTGTTTCTAAGTATGAAATGTCTGATTTCCTGCAAGCTTGATGGTTGGTCTGACATCTTACTTTGACACTCAGAAGGGAAATTGTCTCAAAGCTTGCCTTTCTTTGCTGTCATGACATAATGATGAACCATTTCTACCCTGTATTGTTACATGTGATGAAAATAGATTCCTGAAGTGCTGAAACACAGTCTCATGCCATGCTCTTCAAAAAAAGCTAATGGTATCTGTTTGTTAGTCCAGCACTGGTATTACCTACTACAGCTTCATGAAACCTGGTCAACGGATGACAGTGGATGATATGATGAGGATGCTTGAGATTAGGTAGCTGAGATCAGTCAATCCGGGCAGGCTAATCCTCTTGCAAGTCAAAACTGTCACAAACAGTGCTGCTCAAAGTACAGAAGCTGGACTGAAACTCTCTGTCATCCACCTATTTACCAGACCTTGCACCCAACTGACTACCACTTTGTCTAGGTTTTGGACCACTTGCACGGAAAAATATTTAATTCTCAACAAGCTGTGCAAGATGCCTCTGGCAATTTCTTGGCTTCTTCTTTGGTAACATGCACAAGCTACTGTTAATGTAGCAAAACTATATGGATAGTTTAAGTGCATACTTTGGTTAATTGTACTGCTTTTTGTTTGTGATATAATAAACTAAACTTCTGATTCAAAATCGGATATTTCAGACTTAATGACCTAATACTTATTTAGGAGATATATTCAAATAACTGAAGTCTTCTTATATGTGCATACTTCCTACAATCACCAATTTATGCTTTTCATATCCCTTCTGGAAATGTTTATTGCATAGATTACATTCCTATGCACAGCAAACAACTCTATGAGTAGTAACATTTCAATCACTTTCAATGGAAAGTGCTTAGTATAGACCCTTATATATAGTAAGATCTTAATAAATTATTTTTCCCTTCTGCCATCACCTTTATGCACGTATGGGAAATAGCCAATCTCTAATAAGCTATTTGGAGGTATAAATTCTCCAGGAAACAACAAAAAAGGGTTTCATTTAAGGAGGCAACTGTAAGTCAAATCTCTAGGAAGAAAAACTATTTTCATGAAGGTTAAGTATATTAATAGAAAGTTATTCTTACATTTCTCGTCCATTTCCAGACATCTTGTATCCACCAAAGGGGCACTGGGAAGACATCATCATATAGCAATTCACCCTGAAAAGAAAGAAAAGAAAAGTACATCATAGGCAATGCTTAACATATGAAATAACTCTAATTTGGCAATTTTACAAATTTAAAAATCTCCTTAAGAACTCCATTGCTTTCAACATAACATACTCATCATGACAAAAAAAGAAGCATAAGTTAGAATGCAGAAGTATATGGATACATACTACCTGGAAACAAAGAAAATGGTACATCTATGGATGTATATGTGGACATCCATTTTTGTGGTATATCATGTTCCTGAGAAGCTACAGTTAGAATTATAAAAGCTTGAATAGCTAATGTGCCATGGAACAGCGGTCCGGAAACTGCAGCCTAATGGCCACATGTGGCTTTGTAGATCCTTTTGACTGAATCTAATTTTCACAGAATAAATCCTTTTATTTTTGTTTTTTATAATTTTATTTTACTTTCACAATGAATATAAGTAAAAACCAAAGAATAAAATAAATTTCAATGAAATAATCCTCTCGGATTGACCAGCACAATTAGAATAATTAGTAAGCCATAAAGGGCTAAATTAAGGGCTACTACACTCAAGATGTAATTCTAACTTCCCCCGGCCTGGCTGATGCCACTACTGCATGAGACTGGTTGGCAAGGGCTTATGTATGGGGTAGAATATGCCAGTCTGTTATCAGCTTTTGATAATGATGTACTGTATTTCTGTTTGAAGTGGAATTTGTGAATAGTTATACAGTTGATAGTATTTTTTAATTCTGTCTGCTTAACAGCCTGTCATGTTAAAGACCAAGAGAATGCTGAAGGAAGAAAGATTTTTAATAAGGATTGGGAATTGCCATATTATCTTGTTTCTGCTAAAGATGAGATGATTTGCTTTGTGATACTGCAGTATCAGCCAGCATGAAAGGAATCCAGTGCACATCAACACTACAACATTCATAAGGACCACAAATACTTTAAATTAGAGGGAGAGGTGTAAAAAGTTAGATAGCAGAAATTAAAAAATAAAAATCAAAAGCAAAGACAATTCTTTCAAGCTGCAATAAGATCTGGAAATAATGCCACTGAAGCAACTGGCAAGTAGCTTATGTACTTAGGACAAAAGGGAAGCCATTCATGATGCAGAAATTGTGAAGGAATGCATTGTTGAAGTTGTAGGATGCTTAGATCCTAATAACATTTCAAGGTACAAACATCTGCTTCTTTCAAGGAGAACCATATCTTAGCAATATGAATTAGTCTCCAACTTAACAGAACAACTTCATGCACCATTTAAAGTGGAAAATATCTAATATTTAATCACCTCTGATGATGCAATGGTACTACTGAATGGTCATAACAGAAGATTTTCTTTACTATGAAGAATTGCTCACTTTGGGCACTCTTGTTAACAGAACATAGACAATAGATATCTTCAATAACTTTCAAGATAAATGATGTGAAGTTGGACTGAATTCAGTAAATTTAATGAATGTGTATCTATAGATGGTCCACCTTCCATGACAGGAAAACATGAAGGGTTTATTGAATAGATATTTTAAAGTATTAACAGATCCAGATGCTCTCATTTCTTTTCACTGTATCTTGTAACAACAAAATCTGTGCTAAAGCTACTATGGCAAATGACATTCTGTGACAAGTTATAAGTATTGTGAATCATATTCCTGCTAATGCAACACAGCATTGCCGGTTTTGTAACATCCCAAAGTTGAAGGATGAGGTATTATTCACTGTGAATTTGCCATATCATTCTAAAGTATGTTGGTAAGGACAGGTTTTAACCAAAATTTTGTCTCTGTAAGAACAGAGAGTTAAATCTTATGAGAAACAGTATCAGCAACATGAATTATTGAAAGAAGATTACTATAGGAATGAAGCATTTCTGTGTGCAATCATATCAAATCACAATGACTTAAATATTTCTGTGGAAGGTAAAATGAAGTCTATATATAAGATATAGTGGAAAAATCCAAGAATTTCAAAGAAAGCTGTCTTTTTTTCAAAACACTACTTCAAAAAGAAATTTCAGATGAACATTTTCCCCTGTTCATTAGGGGAAAGATCATTAATGAGCAGGATGAATATATATGAATCATTTGAAGAATACACAGCTGTTAACAGACCTATTTGAGAATTCAGTGAAAAGTTCACTGACTTTGAGAATCATAACATCACATTGAAAATAGCATTTTGGCCTCATCTCATTGATATCACTAAGACATCTACAGAACTATAGATATAATTGATTGACTCCTCAGTAGATGATTGTTAAAGTCACTGTTGCTAAGAAAGAGCCAACTGAAATGGGGAAATGTAGTAGAATACTCATACCTTCAACAATATGCCCCCAAAATGTTTTCTTGCTTTTTAACCACTCAATGCTATGAGTATAGATTCTCCTAACCCAAATCAAGATACCTTTAATAACCAGGAGTGGTGGCTAACACCAATAATCATAGCACTCTGGGAGGCTGAGTTGAGTAGATTGCTTGAGTTGTGGAGTTCAAGAAAAGACTACGCAAGAGTGAGACCCCATCGTTTCAAAAACATTAGGAAAACTAGCTGGGTATTGTGACAGGCACTTATAGTTCTAGCTATCAGGGAAGCTGAGGCAAGAGTATTACTTGAGCCCCAGTGTTTAAGGTTTCTTTGAGCTATGTACTATGACAGAGTGAGACTCCATCAGAAATTTAAAAAAGGATTCCCTTAATGTCAGAAATGACTGATACCCATTTAGAAGATGCAGACTTCCCTGCCACAATCAAATATTCAAATGCTTTCCCACAAGAAGCAGACACAAAGTCATTAAAACTTTAATTAACTTTAAAATTTACAAATAATTTTCATTTTTTTAAATCATTAAGGACATAGTAGTTAAATTTCAACATAATAATGTACATTATGAAGTATATTTAATGGAAAATTATTTTTGTTGTTGATTTTCTGTATTGAGTTTTTATTTTTTATTGAATCATAGCTGTGTACATTAATATTCTCATGGGGAACAGTGTGTTGTTTCTATATACAATTTGAAATGCTTTCATCCAATGGTTAGCGTAGCCTTCATGTCATTTTCTTAGTTGTTGTGTTAAGACATTTATATTCTACATTTAGAAAAATTCACATGTACCCTTATAGGATAAATCATAGGCGTGATTCCATGAATCACCCTCGCTCCACCCATCCTCCCCCCTTCCCTGCCCTCCCCGTCCCCTTTCTCCATATTCTTGGGCTAAAATTGGGTTATAGTTTCCTATGGTAGCTATAAATTAGTGTCATAGTAGGGTTGAGTACATTGGATACTTTTTCTTCTATTCTTGAGACACTTTGCTAAGAAGAATATTTTCCAGCTCCATCCATGTAAACATGAAGGAGGTAAAGTCTCCATCTTTCTTTAGGGCTGCGTAGTATTCCATGGTGTATATATATCACAATTTATTGATCCATTCATGGGTCTATGGGCACTTGGGCTTCTTCCATGACCCAGAAATTCTGAATTGGGCTGCAAAGAACATTCTGGTACAAATATATTTATTGTAGTGTAAATTTTTGTTCTTCTGGATGTATACGTAGCAGAGGAACTATAGGATCAAATGGCAGGTCTATTTTTAGTTCTCTAAGTGTTCTCCAGATGTCTTTAGGAACTATAGGATCAAATGGCAGGTCTATTTTTAGTTCTCTAAGTGTTCTCCAGATGTCTTTCCAAAAGAAATGAATTAATTTGCATTCCCACCAGCAGTGTAGAAGTGTTCCCATGTGCCTGTCTTCTTCAGAGAAATTTCTCTTCAAGTCCCTTGCCCACCCTGAGATGGGATCACTCCTTCTCTTCTTGCTAATACATTTGAGTTCTCTATGGATTCTGGTTATTAAACCTTTGTGAAAGACATAACCTGCAAATATCTTCTCCCATTCTGAGGGCTGTCTGCTTGCTTTACTTACTGTGTTCTTCATTGTGCAGAAGCATTTTAAGTTGATGAGGTCCCAGTAGTGTATTTTTGATGTTGCTGTAATTCCCTGAGGGGTCCTCCTCATAAAATATTCACCCAGGCCAATTTTATCAAGAGTTTTCCCTACACTTTCTTCTAGTATTTTTATAGTTTCATGTCTTAAAATTAAATCTTTAATCCAGTGAGAGTCTATCTTAGTTAGTGGTGAAAGGTATGGGTCCAGTTTCATTCTTCTACAGGTCACCAGCCAGTTTGTCCAGCACCATTTGTTAAATAGGGAATCTTTTCCCCATTCAATGTTTTTAATTGGCTTGTCAAAGATCAGATAGCAGTAAGTAGCTGGGTTTATCTCTTGATTCTCTATTCTGTTCCATACATCTACCTCTCTGTTTTTCTGCCAATACCATGCTGTTTTGATCACTATAGATTTATAGTAAAGTCTGAGTTCTGGTAGCATGATTCCTCCTGCTTTGTTTTTATTTCTGGGTAATATCTTGGCTATTTGAGGTTTTTTCTGATTCTATATAAAACGAAGTATTATTTTTTCAAGATCTTTAGAGTATGACAAGGGAACTTTAATAGGGATTGCATTAAAATTATATATTTCTTTAGGTAGTATTAACATTTTAACAATGTTAATTTTTCCTAGCCATGAGCATGGTAGGTTTTTCCATTTGTTAACATTTTCAGCTATTTCTTTTCTTAGAGTTTCATAGTTCTCTTTATAAAGGTCTTTCATGTCCTTTGTTAGGTAAACTCCCAAATATTTCATCTTCTTTGGCACTACTGTGAATGGAATAGAGTTCTTGACTATTTTTTCAGATTAACTATTGTTGGCATATATAAAGGCTACCAACTTTTGGGTGTTGATTTTGTAACCTGAGACACTGTTGTATTCCTTGATCACTTCTGCAAGTTTTTTAGTAGAATCCCTGGTGTTTTCCAGGTATACAATCATGTAATCTGTGAAGAGTGAAAGTTTGATCTCTTCTGATCCTCTGTGAATACCCGTGATTGCCTTTTCTTCCCTAATTGCAATGGCTAAAACTTCCATTACAATGTTAAAGAGCCATGGAGACAATGGGCAACCTTGCCTGGTTCCTGATCTAAGTGGAAATGATTTAAACTTAACTCCATTCAATACAATATTGGTTGTGGATTTGCTGTAGATGGCCTCTATCAATTTGAAAAATGTCCCTTCTATACCAATTTTCTTAAGTGTTCTGATCATGAAGGGATGCTGGATATTATCAAAAGCTTTTTCTGTATCATTTGAGAGAATCATATGGTCTTTGTTTTTTAATTTGTTTATGTGATGAATTACGTTTATAGATTTATATATGTTAAACCAGCCTTGAGATCCTGGGATAAAACCCACTTGGTCATGGTGTATAATTTGTTTGATGTGTTGCTGTATTCTCTTTGTTAGGATCTTGTTGAATATTTTTGCATCAATATTCATTAGTGATATTGGTCTATAATTTTCTTTTCTTGTTGGGGCTTTGCCTGGTTTGGGTATCAAGGTGATGTTTGTTTCATAGAATGTGTTGGGTAATATTCCTACTTTTTGTATATTTTGGAAAAGTTTAAGTAGTATGGGTACTAGTTCCTCTTTGAAAGTTTGGTACAATTCTGACATGAAGCCATTTGGTCCTGGGCTTTTCTTTTTAGGGAGATTTTGTATAGCTGATGCTATTTCAGAATTTGATATAGCCCTGTTCAACATTTCCACTTGATTCTGACTTAGTCTTGGAAGGTGGCGTGCTTCCAAGTATTGGTCAATTTCCTTCAGATTGTCATATTTCTGGGAATAAAGTTTCTTGTAGTATTCATGAAGGATTTTTTGAATTTCTGAGGGGTCTGTTGTTATTTCATCTTTACCATTTCTGACTGATGAAATTAGAGATTTTACTCTTTTTTTCTTGGTTAGGTTAGCCAAAGATTTATCTATTTTATTGACCTTTTCAAAAAACCAACTTTTTGATTTATTAATCTGTTGTATAATCCTTTTGTTTTTGATTTCATTTAATTCTGCTCTAATTTTGGTTATTTCTTTTCTTCTGCTAGGTTTTGAATTGGAATGTTCTTTCTTTTCCAGTTGCTTGAGATGTCCCATTAAGTTGTTAACTTCCTCTCTTTCAGTTCTTTTGAGGAAGGCTTGCAGTACTATGGATTTCAGTTCTTTTGAGGAAGGCTTGTAGTGCTATGAATTTCACCTCTTAGGACTGTCTTTGCCGTATCCCAGAGGTTCTGATAACTTGTATCTTCATTATCGTTTTGTTCCAAAAATTTGGTAATTTCTTTCTTGTTCTCATCCCTGACCCACCTATCATTCAGCATAAGGTTATTTAGCTTCCACGTTTTTGTATGGGTCTGCATATTCCTCTTGTTACTGAGTTCAACTTTTATTCCATGGTGGTCTGAGAAGATGCAAGGAATAATTTCTATTCTTTTAAATTTCCTGAGGTTAGACTTCTGACCTAAGATGTGATCAATTTTGGAGTATGTTCCATGGGCTGATGAAAAAAATGTATATTCAGTTTTATTAGGATGAAATGTTCTATAGATGTCCATTAAATCCAAATGATGAATGGTTAATTTTAAATCCAAAATTTCTTTGCTAAGCTTCTTGTTGGAGGATCTGCCCAACACTGCCAAAGGAGTATTAAAATCTCTGACTATGATGGATCTGGGAGTAATCAAGTTGCTCATGCCTGTTAGAGTGTCTCTTATAAATTGAGGTGCATTCTGGTTAGTTGCATAAATATTGATAATTGAAATCTTATCGTATTGAGTATTACCCTTAACAAATATAAAGTGGTCATCCTTATCTTTGCTCACTTTTGTTGGTTTAAAGCCTATTGTATCTGCTAATAAAATTGCAACACCTGCTTTTTTCTGCTTTCCATTTGCCTGGAATATAGATGACCATCCCTTCACCCTGAGTCTATATTTGTCTTTTACAGTAAGATGAGATTCTTGTATGCAACAGATATCTAGCCTGAGTTTTTGTGTCCAGTCAGCCAGCCTGTGCCTCTTTAAAGGGCAATTTAAGCCATTCACATTGATTAAGAATAATAATAAGCCTGGCATAATTTTGAGTATCAAGTTTTTTGAAAGACCAGTGGACATCTTTAATCCTTTTGCCACTATGGAAATTGGAATTTGATCAAAATTTTCTGAGTGAGTTTATTTATGAGGTGGAGGATTGCGCTGATCATTATGCAGGATAGGTCTGAGAATATCCTGGAGGGCTGCTTTAGTTACGGCAAATTTCTTCAACATGTGAACATCATTAAAGTATTTAACTTCTCCATCATAAATGAAACTCAGTTTAGCTGGATACAGGATTCTGGGTTGAAAGTTATTTTGTTTTAGGCCAGGCATGGTAGCTCACGCCTGTTGTCCCAGCACTGTGGGAGGCTGAGGCGGGTGGATCACCTGTGCTCAGAGGTTCAAGACCAGCTGAAGTCTCGCCTGAGCCAGAGTGAGCCAGAGTGAGATCTCGTCTCTACAATAACAACAAGACAGCCGGACCTTGTGATCCCAGCTACATGGGGGCACAAGAGAACACTACAGGAGGAAGAAAAAAAAAAAGAACATTATTTTGTTTTAGGAGATTGAAATTCAATGACCACCCTCTTCTAGCCTGAAAAGTTTCATCAGAGAGATCTGCAGTCATTCTAATATTCTTCCCCTTGTAGGTTAAGATTTTCTTATGTCTAGTTGCTTTCAGAATTTTCTCCTTCATATTAATTTTAGTCAAGTTTATTATGATGTGCCTAGGGGATGTCTTGTTTGGGTTGAGTCACGCTGCAGTTCTGAAACTGTCTGGTATCTGAATTTCAGAATTTCTTGGCATGTCTGGAAAGTTCTCTTTCATAATTTCATGAAGAAGTGCCTCTGTGTTTTGTGAAGCAACTTCATCACCTTCAGGGATTCCTATAAGGCAAATATTAGTTTTCTTTGAATTACCCCTGAGCTCTCTCAGACAAAGATCTGTTTTTTCTCTCCATTTCTCTTCATCTTTGAGTGTTTGGTCACCACACTGTACCCCATGATTGCATTAATATACATAGCTATCATTAAAAAAAAAAAAGCTTTGTCTTGAGTGTCAGAGATCCTTTTTTCTACCTGCTCCATCCTGTTACCAAGGGATTCTACTGTATTTTTCAGATCTTTGAGGGCTACAACCTCTTGCCTCAGTGTCTCGTAATCTTTGGTCATTTTATCTTTGAAATCATTAAATTCTTGAGACAGCTTTTGAATAATTGGAAATTCTGATTACCTTCTTTCCTCCATTCTGTTGATCTTATTTGCTATCCAGATTCTGAACTCGATTTCTGACATCTCAACAATCTGTTTATGGATGGGATCTTTAATTGCATCCGCCCCATCCTTCCTTAGAGGAGCTGATCTACTCTGGTTGTTTTGGTTATCAGAGTTTTTCTATTTATTCTGCCCAATGATGAATTTGCACCATTTGAAGACTGTCCCTGAACCGTTCTACCAGTGGCTGCCACTGGAGATGATGCCGGCTTCCTCTGGTTATCTGGAGAGACAGGGCGTGTCTGCCTGGAAAAGCTTCAGGAGTATGAGCCTTATTGTTCTCGCTCCTGTGGCTGCTGCTCTTTGCCTTGGGGTATCACTACTCCAGTATGTTTCCCTCTCAACTGACCATCCTCTCTCAGATCTTGAGCCACTGGGCCTGGACTACAGGAATACGGTGCTTGATCAGTGCACACTGCACACTGTGGGGAAACCCCAGGGTGTGGGTGAGCAACTGGCAGGCAGCTGCGAAGAGGACACACTGGCTGGCTGGATCAGTACTCAGTGTGCACCACAAGAGAGTGCCCAGGGAGCCAGGACAGCAACTGGCAGGCAGCTACACAGGAAAATGAAAAATCTTAAATATAACTTTGATTACAGCTGAATTAATGTGCCTTTCCAACATGAAAACATTTCCCAGCCATATGTTAATCAAATATCAGTTAAATATTTCAGGTAAGCAATTGTAGGAGTTAAAGAAAACACCTTTTCATTTGAGTTCTTCCATTGTAGCAGGGTTTTCTGCTTTTGTTTTAGTTCTTAGAGGCAGCGAATGCTTCTCTAGCAGGTATGCATTTCCAAATGAAAAATCCAAGACTAAAAAGGTTAAAGCTAAGGTAAACTGTTACTGTGGTTAACACTGTGAAGGCTGCATTATTTAGGTTTGACTTACCACACCATCCCTGCTTGTAGAGCAGAGGAGACTGTTATGGCTTTATCAAGGTCTTTGGTAAAGACTCCTGCTGCAAGCCCGTAGTGAGTATTGTTTGCTCTCTTGATCACATCATCTAAAGATTTAAACTTCATGATTTGCTGCACTGGTCCAAATATCTATACCACAAGAAATGGATTAAGAAAATCAAAATGATAGGTTAGAACTAGATGTTTCAAAAGATATTGCAATTTTTTAGAAAAATGAATTATCCTACATTGATTAAGACTCTGCTCTAACATCAAACCTATGTGTAAAAATCCAGTTAAGTAGCTTCTGCAATGTAGGTGAGAATAGATAATGATCAGGTGTTCAGTTATTTTTGGAACAAGATAGGTTACAAATAATTAAGCAATATTCACTTTTTAGATGTTAAAATTAAGCTTCCATGAACTTGTAATTGTGTATCAAATCATTAACCTCATAATTTCATTTTCATTTTTAGGGCATTTAAAATTCTCTCCCTAGTTTTTCTCATCTTCCAACTTACTACATATAACAATAAGTTCCAGAAAGCAATGCTATCCTTTTGGATAAATGACTAGGAAATGATTAATTATAGTAAATTTCTTTTAAATATCAGGATACCATTGGTTGAAATATTAGCCATTTTATTACATTTAATATTTTAATAATTAGTCAGGGTATGTAAAACATGAATTTTTGTTTAGATTCTACTTTATAGCCAAATCTTATACAACTTACATATGTTAATAAAGAATGGTTTGTTATTGCTAGAGCTTAAACCGTGAGCTGTCCTGTCCTAGTCAGGGCATAAGTTCATTGGGAATGGCTATGGTTTCAGAACAAAAACCAAAAATCACATTTTTCCAGCCTACACCATTCTCACCCTTGCTAAACACTCTACTTAACATAGCCTAAGCCCAAGTCATTCTGTATTTCAGCACCAGGGAGGAGAAAGACAACTGGATTATCTTTTAGAAATTAAGCCCCTAAATTATATTGCAGTAAGATATTTACTAAAATTAAATTAAAAGAGAGGGTTCTTCTGAGTGTTATCTAAATTTTCTGGGAAACAAGAATACACAGAGGCAAAAATCAGAAATGACAAGCAGTTTCCTGGTGTTCACCCCTGTGGTAAGTGTAAGGGAAATAGGACCTGCTAAGCAAATAGAGGCTGAGTAAAAATTCTAAGGTTGTAAATGTAATCATGAGGTTGTAACTCAGGGAAACAGACATAGAGCAGCTGCTGCAGTAAGTGTATTCATATCTGACATAATTTTAATTGAACATAGCATATGGCTCCAGGCTTAATGTATAAGCTAACTATTTTACTGTGAATTAATAGGTTTTTCATACTAAGTTTAAGCTAACTATTCTACTATGAATTAATATGTTTTTCATATTAAGTTTAGCTTGAAGTTTAAGCTAAGCTAACTATTCTACTATGAATTAATATGTTTTTTGAATTAATTAATGAATTAATTAATTTTTTGCCATGATTATAATAGATCTCTTGACATTCTTCCTTCTACCTACTGACCTTTTCTATCCTTGACCAACATCTCCTGAAACCTCAAATCCCATGCCCCGACCTGATGACCATCATTCCATTCTCTACTTCTCCAAATTTCACTTTTTTAGATTCTACATATCAGTGAGATCACATTTGTCTTTCGGAGTTTGGCAGGCATCACCTGTCACAGTGTCTTCTAGCTTCATCCTCATTGATGCGGATAACAGAATTTTTTTTTTTTTTAAATCACTTTGAAGCCATGAAAGAAGTATCTAAAAATTGTTAAGCTTTCCGGTCTATGTTTGGCTAAAACTTTCAGCTGGCCTAAAGGAATTTTTACTATTGTTAGTCTTACAAATAAGCCTTCATTAGTAACAGAAAGAGTAGTATTTATTGAGAAAGAGCTGAGAATTTTAAAGGGACACTTTGTATGCACACGTTCAGACAAGGCATGACAACATCAGGAACAGAACGAAACCCTTTACCTCCTCTTTGGCGATGCGCATCTCATCTGTAACATTAGAGAAGACCGTGGGCTGGATAAAGTAGCCTTTATTCCCCCAGGGGCCTCCGCCACATTCCAGTTTGGCCCCTTCTTTCTTCCCACTCTCAATGAGATCAAGAATTTTATCATATTGTTCCTTGTCAATCTAGTTGAAAAATATCACATGGAAAAAAAAGTTACAGGTTTATAAAGATAACATACTGGTGGGCCTGTTAACGAGGTTTCAAAATGCTAAGATATGGCCATTGAATCAAACATTGAATCAAAACAGCTAACAGAGGCTCTGATTCATTCCTTAGCTGAATTTTATTCTCATGACTTTTCAGGGAAGAACCCCTGAAGATAGACATTTGTATTATAGTTATGGAAGAGAAGCATGTCAGTACTGCAAACCTTTATACATTTGCCATTTCTTCACTCTGGAAGAAATGTCTATAAATAATCTAACACATTAACCTAGAAATTGTAGTGCTAATTGAAATAAAGGGAGTGAATACAGAAAAAAAGAGAATTTTGGTACCAGGGTTAATTGAACAGGGCAGTAGGAGAGCAGATGCTTAGATTTCTCTTAGAAGACTCCTGTGCCTGTGTCTAGATCCCCTGTTGTTGAACCATCCCCTCTGGTCTGCTCTATGCTCTTAGATGTTACATTCTGACTGTGGTTTGCACATCCTCCCACTTGAGGTCTTTTTGTTTGAAATTCCAATTTCTGGCCTTTCCTAATTGTCACCGTCCTGTTTCATTAAATGGGCCACATCTAAATACAAGTATGACAAGTATTTCAAAACTAAAAAAAGCAAGAACTTTATAGCATTTGTTAATTTCCCCGGTGTCTTTAATTTTCAGTATGATTCCTACTTGTTTCTAGGCATGAAAAATCAGAAAAAAAAAACAGAATGATTTCTTTATCATTGGAAATTGATTTTTTTTTTTTAATCACCAAACTGGCACAGTATCATTACCTAGGAAGACACGTGGATGGGAAATAACCTCACTCAATAAAATCTAGGCCTAAAGAGGAGACTTTATTCTTGTCCCCTGAAATGCTATTTCTTCTACTACTGTGTACTCACCTGAGGGCCTTGACTCACTCCTGGAGTCAGAGGATTTCCAAGAACGTACTTCTTTGCCAGCTCCACACTCCTTTTCACAAACTCATCATAAATTGATTCTTCCACAAACAACCTGGATGCAGCGACACAGCATTGGCCCTGGTGGAAGAACACTCCCCTGTGTGCAAATTCAAGGGCATTGTCCACTGCAAGAAAGATATTCACAGCAAGGAAGACATTCACATTAAAAAAGAGATACTTTCTAAAGATTACATGTTTTTATATACAGAAGAACTGCTGTAAGCTGGCCACACAAGGGTCTGTAACAAATTGGTCAACCCATGGAGGTGGTCAACATAAGGATCTCCATTGAGTACATGTGCTGCATGCTCACATTATGAAAATTAGGTCAACACACCACCTCCTTAGGTTGACCTAATTTTCATAGACCAGAATGCACCAAAGGTACATAGGCTGAGTGGTGGTCAACTTACAGAGGTTCTACTTTCTTTCTTAGAGGCAATATAGTGATAAAGAAAAGTTATGAGTGGTATTGTCAGACAGGGGCATGAGTTGTACTGTCAGATATGAGCACAATACATTCAACTTCTTAATAGTCAAGTCAAAAATTAGTCTTTCTGATCCTTTATTTACCATGGAAATAATAGCAATGAATAGCAGAATCTGAAAAAATAGTGGTTATTATTATAACAATATAAACATTATTGAAAAAGTGGATCCAATCAGAAAATTAAAGCTCATTACAAATGATTTTTATAAATATCTCCATTTATTATCAGTTGGGTGACTGTGACTATTTTTTTCAGGCCTCGTGTTTTAACTAGATAACAAAGAAAATCTGAAATGTCTATTGTATTAAATAATCTCAAAGTTTCTTAAGGGAACATCTGTGGGATAAAACAAAATAAAACAACTAAAAAAGAGGCATAGGAAATCTAATACTCAGAGTCACCCATCCCCCTTATGACTTTATTCTAGCAAAGACATTTTCAAAATCTATCGAAGGTATATTGTTTCATATATGCTTTTAAATTCTTCTTATCCATTTATTTTAGGTAGTTGAATGTACTTTAAAAGGCAGAAATAGGTTGCTTTATTAGTTGATCCTAAACAAAAATAAAGTTTTCTTTTCCATTTTAACTTTCAACACTCTGAAGATTCAACTCAACATTTTAGCAACTGGGTGTTGTTTTTATTTATTTGTAAACTAATAACACCTTAAGTTTTAGTAAGAGCAGTTTGCAGAAAAGCTTAGAAAAATTAGGATTCTTTTCATGTTTATAGAATGTTTAATAATATAGTATATTCTAAAAATGTTTAATTAAGACCATCCTAAAAACATAGGCCAGATTCATAAAGCATCGGTGTTTACAGCCACAAATAAATAATGTAGCTGTGAAAGTAAGTCTGTTACAGGAATATTTGACTATTTCTGCTAATTAACATCTATTTAGCAAATAATTTTGGGATTCTACTTGGTAATATAATCAGAATGAACCCAGAATATTATGTAGTGGAGTCTCATCCTAATTGTAGATTAAATACACATAAACTCAACCATATTTGCTAAGGGATTAAAAAAGAGACATTATTTAAATAGAAGGCATGATTCTCTTCTGGTTGTTTTATTTAATTAGCATATGACCCAGTGCGAAGGGAGACGGCCAGTGTGAAATTGCTATGTTCCCATTTGGTCTCAGTCCAGCACATCCCTGGGTTATCTCATTACACTTAATATGACACTAATAATTAAAGGTATGGAATTTGAAAAATATATCATGGCTCCTAAATGCAAATGTTTATGTTATCTTGAGTTTGAGTATTTAGCAATCTATTCTGAACCAGGAAGAAATTGTGTCTGGGACCAATGTGTTACAAGTTTATGATGATTTAACATATTTTCAAGAGTAATTCTGGACTCTGATTAATTCCTCGCACTTTGGTATGGGAAGAAAACCTTCTTATACAATGGTAACTTCACTGCGTGGCATTATGA